TTGTTACTACTAGTAAGGCACTTGTTACTAGTAGCGATGCACTTGTTACTAGTAGCATGTGAATATTCAGAGGGAATCCTTTCGTAAGCTGTGCACAAAGCTTCACAGCCAGGCCTTGGGGAAGACCTGGCAGGCGAAGATGGATGAGCTCATGGCCCGGCGACGAAGTGCGAAACGAGCACTACTTTGGCCGAGACATTTTTAGGGGGTAGGCCGCTAGTAGAGGGAAGAGGTAGCTAGTAGTAGCTAGTAGCTAACAAGTAATCTAGGTACAGGACCTCTAAAGGCGGTGGGGGGAGCTTCCTTGAAGAAGCGCTCGCACTATTCATTTGGCTCCTAGATTTTTTAGGAAAACTCAGAATGCGACGGACATATCCGAGCTGCGGCCGTTGTCGCCTGGAAAAGGACAGAAACATTTATCACCCCTATATATGGGATACCAGAGTTCATGAGGGTCAGCTTTTGCATTGTCGTCATAGAGTACTGTACCCCGAGTTCATTCTCATACAGCCATATCAGGGCATATCATGCAAACGCCTTTTCAACAAAGTCAAACGCTAAACACTCTTCTTTTTTTCTCGAAAACTCTGTACTGCACCATCCCAAGGATGCGCACAAGGCCGTTCCTGATGTGGTTGCTGAGCTGCGACGGCTCGACCCAAAGGACAAGGACCAAAAGGATCCCAAAGGTCCAGGGAAGAAACCCAAGTAGCTCGGTGTGGCTCGGTGTAGTTCCGAGGGCTTTAGAGGGCCCTCTTTAGGGAGCCCCTTTAGGGAGCTTCAGGGTATTTGAGGTGAAATTCTGCAGCTAAAATTGTTACTAGTAGCGTCCTTGCTACTAGTAGCGATGCCCTTTGTTGCTACTTGAATCTTGTAGCAACCCTTGGATTCTATGAACGTAGTACTCAGCAAGCGTTGCTTGACACCGTGTGCGGTGGTTCTTCCCTTCTTCCAGCGGTCCGCGACTGGAGCCCGCCAGTTTGAAGCCAGGGAAATTCCTGATACCTTCCGGTTCAACTGTTCCCATTGAGCAGCTCTTGTAGAGTGGGACGCATGATCTTGCTAGCATTCCCGGTTGTGTGATTCTTGAGGGTACCAGAATCTTCCCACCAATTCATTTTTCCGGCCACGGCAGGAGTATCAGATCAGTCATGATAGAGCCTTGAACCGACTGCCAAAAGACCATAACTGCAACCCTCACAAAGATGTGCACAGCTGCCTCCAGCAGAATTACTCACGCACCGTCCCTGTGAGCTTTAAATATCCGCATTTCAATATGTTATGGATGCGGCCACGTTTTGAACACTATAATACATCAACCAAAGTCGGTCGCAAGTTGAAGCCCAATCCTACACCCCAACTTCACTTTGTTTACTCAAAACAACCCTTTGTCCTGAACCATCCATTAAGTGGTATTCAGAAAAGGGTATTGTTCTAAATTCTAAACGGTTCATTCGCTTCTCCAAAGCTTTCTTGGAGGCTTGTGTATCTCTATTTCAGTATGCATTTGAGAATGCGCTAGAAACCGCCTTGAGCCAGCAGTTGTGCTCAGTGCCTAGCGTTTTGCAGCTGATGTATCGCAGAAAAGCCACCGTTGTGAATCCTAGTATGTGCTTTCTCTAGCCCCTCTAGACATCCTTTAAAGTCTTTGGACGTTTGTGTTTCTGGGATGATGGTCTCTTGATGCCTTAATGAATACCTTGATCCATCCTTTTGATAGGATTTGGAGTTTGTAGAATCCCATTTTGTACAACACATGACCTCTCGAGTACAACTTGCGACAAGCGACTAGCGACCTCTCGAGTCACTCTCCCACAGCTGACTTGACCAAGTCAGCAAGTTTCTCTCACGCCAGCCCTCAGCCGTGTCCACTCAAAAGTCCTTGGCAAGTAACAAGCTAGTTGATTTGTTAAACCATTGCAAGACTAAGTTGTACTACAATACAGTTTACATGTCCCCTATACGAACCAAAGGGTATTTGGACATCGTTATGGAACTCACCCACCCACCTACACACATAAACACACTATTTTGAGACACAGCAATTGTATGTTCACTTTCTGGTGAATGCATCCTTCTGGATTGAAGGTTCACCATAATTTTGCAGGAAACGGAAGCATCTGAAGCATCTCAATGGGAAGAAAGAACCTTTGCACGTTCCAAGACACTTCCGTGTCATTTTTGGCCGTGAGTTCGAGTGTCGTTGTCATGGCGCCATGATCCCGCCACGTTCGCCAAAGGAGGCCGGTCGTGGAGGGGCTTTGCCAAGAAAAGCGAAAGAACGTCTCTTGATCAAGTGGGTTTTGCCCGACAAAGCTTCAAGAATTGCTCTTGGCTTTCCGCAAGAGGGAAGCTGGGGGTGGCATGGTAAATGCTGGAGGAAGACTGTAGGCAAGAGGTCAAGGATGAGGGAACGACAAGGAAGATCACACCCTTTTCGATGGCGAAGTCCACAATATTCGACAGTAATTGAAGCCATTCACGGAATGCGTCGCTTGCGTCAGGCCCAACGGCGGCACAAGGGGCAGCTTGTACACTGGGATGCATCTGAGAAGATTGGGTCGGGACTCCGAGGGAGCGAACCTCTCCGCTGGTTTGGGATTGGCAATGCAGGAATTCTAGCATGCGTGTTTGATGGGAAACTCCGAGGCCAACTCCGGTTTCCGCTGCAGGTTCGTCCAGTTGCAGAAGCCTGTGATCAACATCGACGTGGCCGAGTTGACCACCCATGAGCGGGGCCGACGGGGTGCGTGTCAGCGTGCTGCTGCTGCTGCTGGTGGTGGACTTGTCAATAGTCATCACTAGTTGACTAGTAAAGCCAGGAGCCCCTAGTAGCTTCTTGTTCCTGGGATTTAAAGTACCTGTATTGCAGGTCCTCACGTGCCGAAGATGGTTCGACCATTTGCACATTAGACTGGCTAAAACGGTTGACCACCGACCAGGTTTCTGAGTGCTATCCACCCTGGAGTGTTTGAGTGAGATTTGCAAACACCCGTAGCCAGTGTAGCCAGAACACACGTTGATTATGGCTGACGAAATCTTCATTTTGACATTTTGCAACTCTTCCTGAGAGACTTTTTCCCAGTTTGGAGGACATGCGAAAGCCCGCAGTGCTGGCAGAGGGGCAATGGCTGAACTTTTTGATCGGCATCGAACCACAGGTCAGGACACCAGCTTTAATCGCAGTACGGATGGGTTTTGGTTAATGTTCTTTGAGGCCCTTGCAAAAAGAAAGTAACCAGTAAGTATGCAATACGGGGAGAGGGCGGGAGGGGTATGTTGGTAGCTTTGGGCGTCCAACTGAGGTTGAGAAGAGTTAATTGTTAAGAGTTGAGAGAACTCGCAACTGAGCAGGGAGACCCTTGGGTGCCAGGGGACATGGCGCACGATCAACGACCATGTCCAACGATTCTACTGGATTGTACGGAATGTGAGAGCTGATTCTATTAGAGGCTGTTCCAGGTCGGCTTCAAATCGTTTGCGCTCACACAGTGGCCACATGCTTTGCCTACACTTTCCCCACATTCTCCACTTTGGTTGGACAGGACCTTCTTTTTTGCAATAGCTTGCTGAAGGATGCTTATGAGATCTGAGAACCGCGGAGTGTGGAGATGTGGCTTCATGTAAAAGCACTCTCGCATTGTTCAACCGCTTTCGTCACCAACCCGGTTCAGATCGGGGAACACGTAAGGCTCACGAAGGCCCAGCGCTTCGCTGTGCAGATGCGGTGAAGAGCCGCAGCCGAAGCCCACATCGCGTGGGGGTCACAGCAGTCTTTCTCAAATTCTTACTATGAACATAGTATTCATTCTAAGACACTATGATACATCAAGATCAAACAGCTTGTAAGCCGATGAAAATCTGGGGAGTTATGCCGCCCGTTTTTGTCCGAAGTGCAGCCGAGTCCTAAGGAGTTCCCAAAGTTGCACAAACAGGGAACCTAATTAATTGCACTCTGCAGTTTGGGGGACAGCTACGCGTTTTTCGATGCAAAAAAAATCAAAAAATGAACAAAACGTAAAGCATAACTTCCTGCAGTACACCAGAAATACGGAATAACCATGTTCGCTACTAGGGGCTCCTGGCATCACTACTAGGAGCAAGGACGCTCCTAGGGGCTCCTGGCCGTACTAGGAACAAGAAGCTACTAGGAGCAAAGGGAATATTCTGTTTTTTGTTTTATCTTTCAGTTTGTGTGCCTTCCGCCCCGCAGCTAGGTTCCAGAGGAGGTGAAGACATCGGTGAAGCCTCTTGGTGAAGACAAAGCAATGCGGCGTAAAAGCAAAACGGATTTGAAAACCACGGCAGAAAGCGGGTACGGTAGATCATCTCGCAGCTGAATTGCTTTGTCTAAACACATTTCTTCAACACCCGTGCAAGGTAGCCGAGGTCACTTTGTCGGCGAAACCTGCTAACCAAATTTTCAATTTGATTCAGAGACACAGCCAGACATGATTCGATTTAGGACCCTCGACAACATGCTAGGGGAAAACAGAGCGTTGGCACATCCGGATTTATGACAGGGAACTCACAAGGAAAGCTGGTTCAGAGATTATCACTGATCACATGTTATCACCGCTGAAGGTGTCATCCATTGAATCTGGACCCAAATCGAAGGTGTGGCTTTGTGACACGTTTTTTGTGCAAATTAGCCTTGACTCAACCTTGTACCAATTCATCAAATCATCCCAACATTTGAATGAGGCCGTGCCAGCCTCTTGTGGTCGTTTTTTCTGTCCTGAGGACGGAACCCGACACCAAGCCAAGAAGGCATGTTCCAGCTGTGCTACAGTGAAGCGTCACGTCAGAGCTGTTGAAAGATTCGCTTGGAGAGTCGTAATTATCCTAATTATCCTAATGGGCTTTCAGTGGCAATCATGCAGGTCGTTTCATTAGAATTCGCGGACAGAACTGAACTATTCAACTATTCGTGATGTTTTCGGAATCGAACTGAGCACTACAGCAGCTGCTTTTTTCCTGTACTTGGTACCTGGCTGCTTGTGAAGAACTGAAGACAGCCGGACCTTTTTGGAATCTTCTAGCTCCTATATACCTACCAAAGCACATTCATTGCGCTATCTGGAAGGTTTGAGGAGGAGGATCCGTGGTGGCCTCAAAGTCCGAAAAGAAGGCATACAAAAACCCTAGTGTCAAAGGAAAGGTAGCATACCACGAATCAGTTCTTCCAAAGCCCAAGCCGAACTGGTCGTGTCTGACCGAGAACTCGATGTGGCTTAAAGCCGCGTCTTCGACGTGACGGTCGACCGCCAGGGATGACAGCGAGGTCCAGAGGTGCGGTCGGTCACGAACCAAAGAGCCTGAGCTAGTAGCGTCGCTTCTACTGTAGCGATGCCCTTTATTACTAGTAGCAATGCCCTGGCTCCTAGTACTGCCAGGAGCTCCTTCAGACGTTCTTTTTCACAAAGGAAAAGTGCGTCACTGAAACTCAGAAAAACCGTCACTGGCTGCAAGGGCTGCCAAGCGGGAGACGGAGCTCGATGCAATTGCCAGGCGAGTAAAAAGTTGGTGAACACGATAGACACAAGTTGGTGAAAAAACAAAATATGAATCGATACGTACCGATATGCGAACATTATATATACATATAGAATCATCATATATATATATATATGTATGTATAATCTTTAGAAAGATCGCCACAAAACATTATATATCAAACGAATTGTTTGTGTTTTCCGTGTCAACGTGGTCCGGATTGGATGTCACAACCAGAACATGCACCTCATCGCTGAATTCCCTTCGGTTTTGGGCCGGCAGTTTCGATGAGATGTCACAG